CTCCTGACAAAACTGGCCGCAACACGAACCATCACCAACCGGCTAGTCCGAAGAGTCAAATCAACGTCTTCCATTCAGAAACACACCAGACCCCGATCCGTCCGTCGTTGTAGCAAATTGTCGTCTATTTGTGTCCTTGGCTTGGCGTCCAAACTGTCACTTGGGTCGGACAGTCGAGAGACCAGAGAGTCTCTGGAGCAGATTGTCTTCGTCCATTTGGCTGGTTGGATCTCGATCTGACGAAGGCTCGACAGAAGTGAGTCGTATCTTCTCCAAAAAACGAGTCAACGCTTCGGCAAAAGGAAGTCTTCTCAAGTCGAATCAGAGACATCTAAAACTCTCCATCGTCAGAAAAACCGGCGACGTCGACTTTGCTCATGTCACGAGAACTCTTTTTCGGTCAATTCACGTCTCCATTGTCCATACTCACCGGTGCGCCGTCACCAGCCTCCACTCCCGTCAGGGCGTCCCATAAATAGCCCAGAGCGCCCACTCAGCCAGCCAGCAATTTCACACTCTAGTCTCTTTTCCCTTTAGGAAATTTCATCTCTTGAACTGGTGATCCCTTCGAGACGGCCCGATCCTGTTTGCCATTGTCGAGAATATCCGATTTCATTTGGCCTCTTCACGAAAAGTGTAAATACAACCATCCACCCACATATTCACTCACACACACACACACACACAAACACAGACACACACAAATATCATATTTCATCTCGACTCGCGGACCGGTTGACGAGGCTGTGACTGGGAAGGAGGGCAGTAGCAACGAAAGCTGATTTGACGAGATCCACCCGTCACGAGTCCTTGTCGCCGGTCGGCCCTCGCACCGACAAGCAGGCAGAACGACGGCAGCCGGAAACTGTAGCCAGAGCGGCTCGAACCGATTAAGTTTAGTGGACAAATTTGCCTTGCCTCGAAGTGACTACTCGTCGAGACTATCAGTAATGCTAGTCTAAAATGTCTGCTTATCGGATTGTGGGAAATCTCAATCATCACTACCGAAATCACCCTAACCGAATGAAGCTAAACATGGTTTTATTCATGATTAAGTGTTACTTTTAAAAACTCTTTATTCCCAAAATGAATAACACCGTCCACTAGATTGAAGCTGACTTAAGCTTTATCTGCTGATTTTATTCAAGCATTACTCAATTACACAATCCCTGCCTCGGATCCACTCGTATCGTGAACGTCAAGCGAGACCAGAAGACCAAGCCGCAACGTTACCTGCCAACAGAGTTTGGGCAACAAATGTTACAAGAACCATCAAGGCATGTAATGGGTCTCCGAGATTATCACCCATTTTTACATAAGAATTTAGTCAGACTATGAAATCTTTTAAAGCTTTCTAGCTTATGACGATGAAGGATTCGTAGCTGAATTTCCCCATAATCATGTGAGTAGATCTTAATTTTTAAGTGAATTCCACATAGACTTGATCTGCACAAAGGTATTCTCGTCTCGGCTGGAATACACTCCAGATCAAC